AGTGTTAGAATGCTCGAGTCAGGGGTATTTTGGTCATTCTGGTGTATCTTATTGAAAGTGAAATGTCTATTGTATCTGAGTTTAAGTTATGTGTCYYATYTTCTAKGAGGGACAAAATTGTCTTTCTTGTAACTCAAGTTTTTAATGAATAAAAGTCAAGTGGGTTGGCTAGGAGAGGTACTTTTGTACATCCTCTCTTCTAGTCTGGCCGAACGTTCTTCTCCTCTCCTTCTTCTTTCTCTTTTCCTTCTTCTTTCTTCTTCTCTACTTTGACCTTGAAACAACTAGGGTTTATTCACAAACCTAATCCACTTTGGGAGACCAAATTCAAATCAGATTTGAATCTAGTAACCTCCTGATAAGATCAGGAGTGAGCTAACCTAATCTGCCGATAGGATTAAGATCATCCCCTATCCAGATACTGATTTGGATTGGGATAACTCCTAATTGGATTAGGGGGTTTCTTAATCAAGAAGAAAAGAGGAGAAACCCTAACTAAGAGATACAACATCAGATTTCGAACCTAGGGTTTTGTGTGCAAGAAAACATCCTGCGAATTGAGATAGGATCTCATACACACTCCAGAGAGAAAAGAAGCAATTTCAGCCATCTTCACTTCAGGAGTTCTCCTCCAGCCGCCGCCATTCTTTCTGACAAGATTCGATCTTTGAAGAAGAATCAAGAAATCAGTTCTTGACATCAGTTTTGCAGAAAAGACTGAAAAGATTTGGTGCTCAAAGTTTCCAGAGGGTTCTTGCGAAGGACTCAGTGTGTAGGACACACTCTGCTGGTTCTGTTCCACCTGTTGCTGTGCCATCTTCGGCAGGAGCAGATCTTGGTGTCCTCTTTGGGCGTGAACACCAACTTTGGGAGATACTGCTTCTCTGGATCAGGTATAATTCCTCCCTTGTCTTTTGGTTCAGATCTGGTTCGATTATGGTTCAAGTAGGATCCTTGAATATTGTATTCTAAATTTAGGGAATATGATTCCCAGTTGGAAGAAGGTAGGAAATTTTTGAAATTCGCCCACCCATTCCACAATCCTTTTGGCGTCCATACGATGGATCCTACCATTCTTTCAAGGGGTTCACCTAACCTTGAACGTTCTAATAGCCTATAGTTGTAGCAAACCAGTGTTGAACAATTTCCAGTGCCCTTAGTTATATAAGATCAAATTATATTTTCACTAGTTTGACTCTTTTCCAAAATGTCCAGCAAGCACTAACTCCATTTCTTTGTCAAGGATATAGTAATACTATTGTATTATGAAATACAAAGATCAGGATATAGTAATAAATTAGAGAATATGAGAACTTAAAATCTAATCATTTTTGGATTTTACTGGCAACCCAAATTTACTTATGATATAAAGAAATCAAGAATCATTCCTATTCTCTCAGATGGTAAACATGGATCAGGCCTACCACCTCACAATTATATTTCAGAAGATCAGCCTAGTCAGATATGGTCCTGGAACCATTCCCTTACCTTAATTTTTTTTTTCCAAAGAATGATTTAATAAATGAATTTGCACCAACAGTTCCAGTTAGGATAATCATAATGACAATAAAAGTTACCAACCAATGATGATGCTGATGATAATGATAACCAACCATTGAGACTTATATAGCTATTAATCAACAATAAACATGTCAGGTAATTCTGTCTTAAGGATACTGTGAAATAGAAAAGAGCACTTTATGGATGAAAAAGAAAAAAGGGGAAAAAAGAATTTGGTGGCCTTACTGTTTTATAACCCAAAATTTTCTTTGATGTAGGATCATCCCATACAAGAAGCAGAATTCTCACACCTTCCTGTGATTTGGACTGGAGAAGATCCCCCAGAGTGGAGTCTGATGAGCAATCACCATCTCTAACCAGAGTAATTTTATGGTACACTGACCACCCAGTAATGTAAATTAACTTACGAGCCTGATGTATTGCATCAAAGATGTCATGCCAACATTTCCCATTCTTGTATTGCATCCCATGGTCAAGATTTGTATTTGGAAGGCAGCCATCAGGAACATGAGCATCTTGATAAAGTGTAACTTTTCCACCTTTTCTCAGAGGAAAGTAAGTGCCCGGAACACCATTGTAATCAGGACCACAACCAACTCCTTGGTGATATATGTTCAGTTTATCTATTGGGGTATATTGAATTGAAATAGTCAAGACAGCTCCCTGCTTGTATGGCTTCCCACTTGCATTGAGGATTGGGAAGGTTCCCTCTACTTTTTCTCCTGAATACAGCTGCTGCACTGGAACCCCTACAACACCTATAAGCTGGGAGCCTATGACATCATTGTCTTTTACAACAAAATGGACCTCAGCGGCATAATGTGCAACAGGAACATAAAAGTGCTGCGTCCAAACAGGGTTTTCACTATTTTTTATCACATAAGTCCTCCCGATTACAGCATCAGATACTGAAATAACCACATATGGATCACTGGTATCCTTTTGAGGCCCTTCTCCTTCAACTTTTCTGCTGAAATTCGTGGGGAATATCCCAAAAATGTCTTGGAAACTTCTATAGAACATGTCCATATTGGGGAGGTTTTTTGCCTCATAAACCCAAATATCTAAGTTCCCATGCAGAGGCAAGAACTTTAAAGGCCCTTCAGATACCTGAAAAGGGATTATCTGTACACTCTGACCATGCAGCGAGCTCTCTGATGATTCAGATAAGGGGTAATCCGACTGAGGAGATGAATCATCCATCCCTGAATAAGAAGGTGCCACATCACTAGAGAATAAAGTATTAGTTAAACTATACATATTTATCCAATTAATACCTCGTGCCCAGGCTCTGAAATGTTGGAGGTGGATTCTAAGACTAGTGGATGATTGCCTTCCAGGGGTAGGGGAATGGTTAGCAGAAAATTGCACCCTAGCTAAAATAATAATCTCCAGATGAGGATAAGGAGAAGGGGGAAGGGTAAAGAGATGAAATACTCACAACATGATTAGTTGGTAAAAAGCCTAAACCTGCAGAAGCTAAACCATCTTGGTGGTGGCAACCAGAGAAGCTATTGGCCTTGGTTGGAGTTGGGGGAACCTTCAGGAAGCAGGTACTAGCTGGATTTTTTTTTTTTTGGAGCGGGGGGGGGGGGGGGGGGGGGGTGTGTGGAAAGAACAAAATCGTAAACCAAGCATGGATAACAGTAGGAAGAAGGGAACAGAATGAGAAGACAGGAGACACTGGTCACAACACGAGGACCTAGAATGAATTGGCGAAGGATGAAGCTGTGGATATCGTGGTATGTTAAAAGAACTATATGAATTATTAAGACAGGGAGGTGGTGTCGGCTGCGATGAATGTAGTGTCGCATACGGGGGAGGATAAGGGGAGCTATAGGAGTCGTTGAATGAATACGAACCGTGGTTCTCCATTAACAAACACTATGCATGTTCCTTATTTAATGGCTTTCTGAAACCAAATTCCCAATAAGAAAGTTGCGACGAAATCAAAACGAGTTTCTGTTTCTTCCTAAACTTTCTTTTTACATGAATTAGTTTCATCTGAAATTCAGAACCGAATTGAATAGAATATGATCTAACCAAACCAAATGGACTCTCAGAGAGAGAGAGGTTACCGTTCGATCTTTGAGAGTTGAAAGATGGGAGAAGATATGACAGGCCGTCCAGAGGCGTGCTTGAAAGAAGTTGATGGACTGGAAATTTGAGTTCTTCGTTCTGTTCTTTCATTTGTTTTTTCTGTTTTTCATTTATTACGAAGAAATGAAGCCCCTCCAACGACCAACCGTCAAGTACGTCCTTTCCAGTGTCATATTTTCAGTTTCGAGGAATTCTATCGGTACGCGCCTCGATTCAGAGCATCAATACAGCGTTGTCCAGTGTTTTGAAAACTGCCTCGAAATGGAACCGCTTTCCGTTTCCGGTCCGGGCAATGGATCAGCGGTTCAATCATCCGGGTCAGATAGATCAATTTATAGCATTATAAACTGAATGATAAGAATATAAAATACAGAAATTTTCAGTTTATATTGCATATTCATTAGATTAAACAAAAATTTAAGTGTGATAAATAAGAATTATTATTATTAATAATATAAATAACTAATGATTCAGTAGTTATTCTGGCTAGGTCATTGGTTTGAGGGTGAACCAGACCTGAAAATCTGGCCAGGTGACAAATTGATTGGTTTTATTACAGGTTGAAAATCAAGCGTTGGTTTTGTCACGCTTGGACCGGACTGGATGGTTGGTCTGGTGAATGTGACCCAGCAGGCTTTTCGGGTCCCAATTAATTGGGAATTTTTATGGGTTTGACAATTTAACCGGCCAAATAATCAGCAAAACCATGACCCAATGAGCCTGGTCTGTCCCATTCCATCCATGGGATGGAGCAAATTAGCTTGGCCCCAATCTTTGCGCTCTACATATTTATATCTGTATTCTATCCAAACTGAGCCTAAACGTTTATATTTTGTGCATGATGAATCGATGACCTATCGATACAATTCGTATCGATTGATATGTTGCGAAATTTTGAATCATACTACTACCATAAGTGTACTCATATGTAAGAATTGAACTACGATTCCTTTTTTTACTAAAAGACAACTAAAATTGACATGCATCCCAAATTTGTTCTTGTGCCTGATTGATATCCTGGTGATACTCTACACAATCCTTACAAATTTTAATGTGCTGAAGTGAAAAAAAGTAGCAAGATATAAGTTTGCTTATTATTTAAAATCACAAGACCTTTAAAAAAGTCAAATGCACATTGACAGAACCCAATTTAAAATTTTTACCAAAATCCATCAAGAGAAACTCTTTTTAAAGCCTGATCAACATACCTCAACCTCAATTAGAATTTATTGGGCTTACTGGGTCATAAAAGGGATATAGGGTTTTAAACCCTAAAAGCTTCATCAAATCCATTCATTAGGAGCATCTTAACTTCCCATGTGCTCAATCCCAAATTTATATTTTGTACGATATGGTACATTGCTATATTTTGAACCTCATGGCAAAATATACCATGGATTTGGAAGATTTAAGCAACTACACGGAGCCTTATAAACCTGGTTCCTGGGTCATGATTTACAGTGCAGTACTAGGGACATTGCTTAAAAAAATTACATATTGAGCTCCTAAATTCAATCAAAATTGGATGCTTTATGATACTAATCCAATGCTCAAATCTATACATACCCTAAACCACAATAAGACAAACCTTTGTCTCACCCAGTAGACCTCCACATAGCCCTAGATCTAGGACCAAGTGGTCTCAGCATTTGAAACAGCACTAGAACTAAGTGGCCTACACCCTCCATCCCTACCCTCAATATTAGTCCGAAGAGTAGTTGAAGATAGATAAGCCAAGTCCATAAGAAGTGCAACAAAATTCAGCAGCAACAAAGACTCATCCACTTTGTGGCTTTGTGCAACTGCCCTTCTTTCGAATTCCATCAAAACCACCTAAAATATAAGTACATTCATGCACTCGGAGGTAAATCCTCCTCTTAACTAATCTCCTTCATTTTTAGGCCCTGTTCACTTTTTGGTAAGTTACTTATTCAGGTAACTGCATTTACCCATATTCTTTTATTTCTCAAATAAATAAGATAATGACCCTTTTAACCATAAAAATCTATTATTAAAAGGGACATTTTTGTCCCATCCAAGTGTAGGCAACTTTCTCCAGGTGGGAAAGTTATTTATCCACCTGGGAGATGGGTATAGGTAAGTGATATCCAGGAAAATAATGGGTTTCTTGATCAATGGAACCAAAATCCCATTGACCAACTTTCCCCCCTCTAAAAATCAAAAAAATGATGTCCCTTAACATAGTTTAGTTATCTTCATTTCACTTCAAGTACAGTTAAGTATTAACTTTTTTTTTTTTTTTGATCAGCAACTGAAAATTCATTCATTAATTTATAGAATAGGAGTACAACAGGGCTAGGTATTTCTCCTAACACCCTTTTACTTGATAAGAGCAATCCAATTTACAGTTCTTAACATTGCTTTTTCCATTTTATATGTTGTTTGATTCCAATCCCATGAGAAGGCCGTTACAACTCGTTGTAAATGTGGGACGATATGGGGGGAAGCCTATGGTGCCATTTGGCAAGTCTTTTTTGAAAGATCTTATGGAAAATTTGACAGCCAAAAGATGTAGCGGGCTTTTACATAAAGATCTTGGCAGCCCACAGATTGGTTGGAGGCACGTCTTTCTGTGTGACGAGACAAAAAAAGTTGAAAAACTCCATTTGGAGCTTCTTGAAAATAGCCCGAAATAGGCTTTCCACGTCTTTTTGGGGTAGAATCTTTCAGTGGCTAGATCTTCCCCCAACCAAACTGGAAAAGATGAAAACGCGAGCTGTCGGGCTTCTAAACAGCCAACAACTCATGCGGAAAGACACACCAAATGGGGCCTATATTTGTGCTACCCTGAATATTTGGTGCAACTCCAAAAGCAAAGCATGGAGCTTCATAGTTTCAATCAAGGTTCAAAATATCGATACACCCGATATGCCAGTAGGGGCGTATTGGGTGAATTGATACTATTTTTTTTTGCTTTTTTTTATTTTTTTTTTCTGAAACCGGTTCAGGGGGGGCGGTTTAGGGCTCCTCCACCCTTGAACCGGTCAGACCCCTGATACACCCACTATAGGGGCGCATCGGAGGGGTCCCGGAACGATACGTATGGGCCGATACGTGTCGATACTTTGAACCTTGGTTTCAATCATTTGGAAGTTTTTTCTAAGTGTTTTGAACCAAATTTGGGTGGAGCACGATCTTAGAGAAGCTGCCAGAACATGGAGCTTCACACCATTTTAATTTCAGAAATGTCTCCGTCTTTTACTAGAAACAAATACAGTGCCTGGAAACAAATTAAACCTGGGAGGACTCGTATCAATTGAATGATGTAAAAATGTTTTCATACACGTAATTGGGTGGAAGACTGGGAGAACTCATACCAATTGAATGATGTAAAAATATCATTGTACACAATATCAGGTGGAAAACTTTAGATTTGGATTTGCAAGAACAATTACATCAATGCACTAATACTGCTTGATTTGTATCTTATTTCAAATTCTGAACTTTTGAAGTGTAGCCATAGCATATGGATGCATCAGATGGTAAGATTTTCTTGAATAGCAGAAAATGAAAATGTTCCCACTATGCTCCCTCCCACGTCTGGGAAATTTTGACATCCAGGAAGAGGTTTCACCTTGCCCATTGGGTCAACTTCAACTGGGTACTTTAGGAGGTGTCCAGTCATCTCTGTTACATCATCAGCTGCAAATTGTCTCCAATTCAACTCTCCCAGTGACCTAACCCGCCTAACACATTCAAGGCTCTCAGGTTGTGTAAAGCATTGTTCAACAGATCCAATGTGCTCTGTCCAGAGTGACATCCTATACCCATAGATCTGACAAACACGCATGGCAGAGTTCAATAAAGGATACAAGATGAAACTATGATATATCACAATTTCAATTTCTAACACCACCAGTAATGAAGCAAGATGAGGATGCAGACTATTATCAGATGATCAGATCAAAGTGTACCTGCCCCTTTGGACTAGACAGTTTTCTAGCCCACGTATGTGATGGTTGATAAGCACCCATTGCAATCTCTGTGTCTCTGGTACCCTCCATGGAGCGCTGGTTAATGTTTGCAGAACCCAATATAACATACTCATCATCAACTATCATTCCTTTTGAATGAACATAGATCATGAAGCGTCGACTCTTCTGAGTGCGGGCCTAAATTAACAATATGCAGCATATTTGAGTCAGAAGGAATTGAAGTATGATTTTGATACTATGTGCAAACTACAGAATTCATATTCAAAGAGATGTAAAAAGAAATTAAATAAATGCCACTACCAGCAAATGGAAGAAAATTTATGGCTATGGTTGTAAAGATTGAACTACTTAAGGTTGCAATTATCCGGTTCACAGGTTTGAAATGTGTTTTGGACACGTTTCAGACAAAAAGAATAGTGAGTAATAATTTTTGGAAAGGGAGAAGGGAGTAACAAGACAAATGAAATTTACTTCAGGAGTGTCAGCTGTAATTGAACTTCCAACATATGGAGTGCCACTCCCATCTAGAACTTCACGGTTGCCGAGGCAGAAGAAATTCAAATAATCTTCTGGTACATATGTCTTCTCAAGACCGACCTCTTCCAAAGCTTTGTAAATCGTCTCATACATCATTTCCATCGTTTTATTCTGCAGCAAAGATATTAATTAAAGAAAATATAGAATCGGGGTTATGTATATACTGAAAATAGTTGTAAACATTAATGCTACCTCCAATTACAGTTTTTTGCTAATAATGACAACTAGATTCCTTTGGAGAATTAGAAATAATGATCTAACATGAAAAATATGGCATGAGAGAAAACTGTAAATTTCTTCAGTTTCAAGAGAATGGATTCTCATACTGATGAAAAAGAACGGATTTTCATGGGGTTTTGATGCATAAACATAGATTCAGGGAAAGAAAAGCAAAATATTAAAATACATGTATTTGGAGATTGATGTTACCAAACAAATGCCAAAAATTACACCCCAACTAAACCAACTGAACAATTCAACATCAATACAATTTTTCTATTCTTACCACACATATGCATATATTATAAGTTGCAAACTCCTGCACCCTAATTTCAATTTTAATTGAGAGGGTAATAATTGGTAGCCAGTGTAAACTTGACCAAACATCCAAATTGAATAACATAGTTTGATAGAACTTAAAGAGTTGATGGCATTGCTCTCTTATACAATTTTCTTTGTTCTTTGATAGTTTGATGCTCTTTGTCTTTAGCAATTTGTTAAGAACTAAATGGATTAGAGATGCATAAAGCTTTTAATAAGATCTATGAAAACATTATTTGTAGTAAAAAATGGGCTAGGTGATTATAATGTCATTGATTAGTGGTACCTTATGATACCAGAATACCTGTACAAGGGTGCCATAACCATATCATGTTGGATACTTCAATTTTTAGTGTAATTCCATATCCCATACCGTGTCCATTCATGTCCTTTATATGGGTAAAACAGGTGGTAGCCAATGTTTAAAAAATGAGGAGACATGAAGCAAGGCATTAGATCCTTTAGATGCATGAGGCATAAGCCTCATGAGTTACTATTTTTAAGAAAAATGAGAAATGTAGAAACATGCACAAGTGGAGCATATTTTTATATAGGAAGAGCATATAAATGAATACAAACAAAAACTATAAGAATATTAAGAGCTTAGAAAGCATCTCATAGCCAATAAAAAACTTTAAATGTAAAATACCGCTTTAAATATGTTCAGGTATAGATAAATCACATTTACATACATGTAAACATGTATATAAACATAAATATACATATACACACACACAACATCAAGGCAACCCTCCAGACACAAGCCTCATATACTTCCTAAAACACTGGTGGTAGCTTTGTACACCTTTGTGTCTTAATTAATCATTATCAGCTAAGCCTTATCTCAAGACTACCAACTATATGAGTCAACTACAGTACTCCTGTTCCTCCATTCTATTCTATTCCGTGCCATATACATTGTTAAATTATGAACCCTTAAATCATTTTTTACCACTTTAACCCATGTCCTTTTTGGTCTACCCCTAGCTTTTCTAGCCCTTTCAACTTGTAACAGATGACTTCTTACAGATACTGTAGATGGTCTTCTTTGCACATGACCAAACCATCTTAGTCTACTTTCCCTCAACTTATCACCAGAGCCATTCCTGAGTTCCTTCAAACAAGTTAATCTCTGACCCTGTCCATTCTAGTTTCCTCATTCATCCATCTCAACATTCATATTTCTGCCACACTCCTAGCTAATCATTACCAGAAAAAATATATTAATAAGAATATGCTTTAGACTACCAGACCACTAGAATCTAAGAGCTGCACCAAAAATTTATTAATTAAGAATCTTCCACACGCCTAGTACATGAGAAACTTCTATTGTTGCTAGATTGTAATTTTCTAGCACTTCCAAAGACTACATAGAAAAAATGACCTTACAACTAATTCCAGAAAGACAGAAAAAGCAATAAAGGTCAATTCCAGAATAGCAGATTCTGACCAATGGAAATAGCTCATTTGTTTTCTTTTTTTCTGGTGGAAAAATAGCTCATTTTTTTTTTCTGAAATACATAAACAATAAAAAAAATCTAACAATAACACCAATACTAGCAGTACTGAAAACTATAGTCATGCTGAAATCTACAAATATGATGAAGTAATATTTTGAAAAACATGCATTCCTCACTCAAAATGGACTTCCCAGGTACTAGTTGGAGACTACCTGCCAAAAGAGAATCCGTTGCATAGCAGTGCTTGTTGGAACACCCTCTGGCCACATTGGAATAACTATATAAGCAGCAAATCTTTCATTTGCTCTGATTTTATTAGCAATTTTTAGTGCAATCTCCATAGGTATTAAATTGTTGGCACCTGCATACAAAAGTATAACTTTGCATTCAATAAAGGAAATTGACAAACAAAGCATTAAAGATTAGATACAACTACCAAACCTCATATTATAAGATGGTTTCACATAAGACACAGAGAAATATGTTGGTAGTCAAGGTTCCGAAATTGGTTTCACCATAAATTTCACCACTCATGAATGGGGAAACCTATTATTTCCTGGCTGTGTATTGGACATCAGTTCAAAAGAAATTCTGTAGAATCAGTTGTGATGCAAGTTTATAGAGATTCCTCACCAATTCTACAATCTTCTCTCTCCATTCATACTCACCATGGCAAGAGATAGTTGCATAATGAGAAATGGTTACCAACTGATGTTTGATAGTAGTCACTTGGTAAACCATGTTCTCAGGAAATGGGAGGCTTTCTGGAAGATAGAGACAAAAAGGTGGGCTGGGGTTAGGATGAAATATTGGATCTTCTGTTTATACTAAGGATAGCTGTCATAAGGAATCCCCATTCAATCTTGATATAAAGTGGTTCTGCACAAGTTCACATTTCATTAGAAGGGGCAAAGGGTTCAGGAGATGTCCATGGAGATAACTTTTATTCTTAATGAGAATGTGAAAAAGGATTGTTCTTGAGATCTTGTCCATGTTTCGAGACAAGCACAGACAGGTATGAAATTGCTTATGGGTTAGATGGAGGTGGTGGGTGTTAACCGGGATTTTATTGTACAGCAGGTTAACATTACTATGAAGTGTATAGCTGTAATTTTTGTACAGCTTTTGGATTGTCTTGTACCATTTTGTTTGATTCCTATCCTTACACATCATGTTTTGCAATTGCTTCTTAATTTAATATAACTCTTTCTAATTGTTATCATTTAACAAAATAGGTGAATTTCAAAATTTTTCTCAAAACTTCAGCCAATGTTAAAGAAGTACAATTCTACACTCGAGTGTATAGTGGTACAAAACAAATATAGGAAACAAGAAAAAGAAATAATAAATGTAAATAGGTACTAAGTTAAACATCTAATTCATTTCTATCCACAGTAAGTTTCCAACAATTAAGGTGGTATTCAGTAAGTGTTGAAATAGGTGCTGAAAGTGGTGTTGGTTCGGCTGGTTTAGTGTTTATGTTAGTCATATTTGTGTCTTAAGTCCTTAGTTATTGGGCTTAAACTTGTTTAATATTTTATTTGTCTAGGTGTCCCATCACTAATCAGGGGCATTCTAGTCCATTCATGTAA